ATTAAGCAAAAATAATCAGCTGTTTTCCTAAGTAGCAATCTTCATTCTCACTTAATAGTCAGACTTTAAGGGAGATGAGTGTGTTTTAATTAAAGGATGCAAACAAATGGCCTGATTTTGAGAGATGCTGAGCACCTGGTATACCACAGATGGTCTGTCAATGCCCCCGCTGACCTGCTCTACTGACCCTCATTAAGGGCACACCAAAGCACAGCACAGTGATGGCTATGCAAGGCAGAGTCAACGAGGCTAAATTCCTTGCTCTTTAAACATGGTGATATAAATACTAACATCATAACCCCTGTCATTTAACTGAAGTTATTCAGGCATCCTCATGTCATATTTTATCCCAAACAAAATACCCAAAGGTATTTATAGCAAAGCAGAAAAGGCAAGGACTGTGAGGCATCAGTCCTGTGGTCATCCTGGGACTCAGCAACAGCTCCCAAAGATGACAGATGCCAAGCACTGGCAGCTGTACTGCAGGTTCAGCAAGCAACTTCTCACCTCTCCTGTCCACCAAGCCAGTCATGGAGCCCCTGCGGACTGCTCTGAGGGGTTTTGTCCTCGAGCTGAGCCTGCTCTGCATCTCACTGTCACACTGACTCAAGTGTGACATACCATGTAAGATAGCTAGGATATGCACAACAGTTAGATATGCTGAGAAGTGGCAGAAAAAGATGGCAGGGATTTTTAAAGAGAGGAGATAGTCAACTAGAACTCTCAAACGCCTGTGATGCTGGGCTGCTGCCCTGATAAATCCCTACCATGGAAGACGTTCTTCTCCGAGGCAGTGTGGTCTTACATCCTGAGCATCAACCTTTCATAAGCTCTGTAAAAAGCTCACTAGCACTCTTCTGTATTACCCTGGCTTAATACTGACAGGCCATAGTGGGATGGCACAGCAGAGGTAAGGTAACAAGGAGGTACCAGGAGAAGCAGAAAATACCCAGTTATAGCACATAGCAGCTTGTTATGACAGACAGACAGTTTCCATAGTGGAGTTTGGCCTGGGATCTCCTCTGAACTCGTCTGACTGCTAGTTAGCACAGGCTGCCATCACACCCATGAGCATGATAAAACTTAAACTACAATGGTAATTTCATCTCCATGCTCAGGTCTTGCTTTGATTATTGGAAAAACAGCCCTGTAAATCTGTACAGGCATACCCTGAACTGAGGGGGGAAAAGGGAGTACTAGCCATCCATTAACTTCCTAATCCATCTGCAGCACAGAACTGAGAGCTTTGCCAGCACGCTACATGCTCTTCCAGAGCAAAAGTCTGGTATTGCCTTTTTTTTTTCAAACCCATGCCTGGCAAGAAGGGTGTGTGAGGGAAAAAAAAAAAAAAAAAGCCCACAGCATCTCTATATCATTAATCTCCAGGCCGGTGGATACAATCCAGGAAGAGAGTAAGGAAGGCAGGCAGCAAATCCCAGCCACCCGTTTGACACTAGTGAGTGAGAAACAATGAAACAGCAAGGAACAACTAAGGCAAGCAGGCAAGCAGCAAGGAGCAGCTGATGTCCCTAAGAAATAAACATCTCAGAAAAAACCTGATTTATTGCACAAGGGTGATTTAAACATGATGAAAAAGCCCCAGACTTTCAGACTTACCAAGTCTCTTGCTTTCAAGAGGTAGGAGAGCTTACATAGGATGGTAGCTAACAACCCCCTATTTTTTATTTTTTTTTTTTTCCGCACTCCATATTGATGTGGGACACTGTTTACAGAGACAGAAAGAGAAAAACAACCTGGACTTCACGGCTGGGTACTGGAACTTCAAACACTGGGATAAATGGGGATTCCCTGTCCCAACCTCTCCAACACCAGATTCACAGTCCAGCTCATCACCCACCACCTGGGCAAGCAGAGCTCGGGTGCAGAAAAGTAGCTGGCATGCACAGGAAACAAGTAATTCCATAACTCACATCTCTTCCCCAGGCTCTGCATGAACTGAGGTGAGAAAGATGCAAGAGGTGAGAAAGGCTGTCTTCTGAAGTGGCAAGCAACCCTCACTCATGCCAATCTTCCACAACCTTACCGTTGTCTTTAGACCCATAACTTCCAATTTAATGTAGTCTGTGGACAGAATGGACAGAAATCCCCCTTGGACCATAGACACACTTGGAGAATTGTCTCAGAACAAATTTCTGAGATGCTGGTGACTAACCCTGACTGTTCAAGGAAGAAGTTGGGACTTCCATCTTATTGCTGCAGATGAACACTCTTTGGAAACAAAACAGGGTACAATTTTGAATTTGAGGAATCTATTTTTTATATTATTTTTCCATCTAATAAAGATGTTTTACTGCATAAAGTTGCCCAGAAAGGGACTGAAATGCATGCAGTTATGTTACAAAACTCATCAACGTTCTGCATTCACAGCCCAGCCACCATGCCAATGTTTTAATTGCTTATTACTAATCATTCAAATAATCCATTATTATGATTATCTGTGCTGTCACAGTGTATTGCAGCCCAAGCCCACGATCAAGAGTTTAATGAGACAGGCACTATGGAAATTCAGAGCAAAAAGACTGGCTCAAAAAAAATTGAGATCTAAGTATATAAGTGTGGGCCTTCTTCCCCTAGGAAATGCAAAGGCCCTATATGCAGTCATTACCAGTTCATTGGCATACAATTATTTATTTATTTATTTATTTTCTGATGGGATTAAATATCTTTATCTAATCTAATGATTTAATATCACTTAAACTAAGTAAAAAAAATGCCATGGTTGTTTGTCTTTGTGTGACACTCAGGAACAGAAGGAAAAAACAACAAAACAAAAAAAAAAAAAAAAAAAGCACATAATTTTAAAACAAACAAGAAGGTTTTGTTGTTGTTGTTGTTTTTTTAAAAAAGTCCAGTAGCTAGCTCTGCTGTGGAACAGCTTGCTGGAAGGACAATGTGGATACCAAAAGTATAAATTTGTTCAAAAAGTGGCTAGTGTACAAGCTTCAGCAAGATGAGAGGGTGTACCAGGACAAGGCATTCTGTGTTTGCCCCAGTCTTATGCCCTTTTCCTGCATACTGACTACCAGCTCTCCTCAGAGAGGAGATAATGGACTTTGAAGGACTTTGTGCCTGACCCAGTGTGACTTCTCCTATGTAAAAGAACACAACAAGAAATATACTCTCAAAAATAAGCTTTAGATTGCTACCTATTATAATCAAAACAGAACAGCCCCTTCTTGTTACCATCGAAGCTATTGCCTTGAGACACACAAGCTGGTCAAGGTGCTGCTGCACTGGATAGGGAGCATCTTTGCTCAAACGCGCAATCTCAGGCTGGGCCATGCTTTGAAGTCAAAAGAACACACAAAGCTACAAAGGAGCAATGAGCAATTCCCACCTGTGTCACAAGCATCATACCACAGGAAGCAAGAGGTCCTAAGGAGGTATTTGAAGGAGGAACCGGAGACATTACTTGCTCACACTGTGACAACCAGTGCCCTTGCACGCTGTTTTGGGAATCACTACAGAATTTCTGCCACTGTCAATGTAACTCGAGCAGTTTTCCCTAGGAGAAAATCTTTGCAAAAGGTTTATAGGTGCTGCAGTAAATTATATACTAAATTGTTGGTTCTAGAGAGGCACTTTCACATCCCCCACTAGACTGACTGTAATGGCATTGATCTGAGGCCAGAAGTAGACGATAGTGTGAACACAGGCTAATCATACAGTCTGCTCTTACTCAGCAGCAGCAATGGACAAAGGACCATTTTGCTTAACCTCTGCTATTTCTAAGTCACTTGTGGTATGATTAAAACTTTGTTCATTAAATCAAACAACAGCAGGAGATACACTCAACTGGTAGCTGGGGGAGCAGAAGACTTTATTCAGTAGTGTCATAATCTGCAAAAGAAAAGAAGGTGTTCAGTTCATATAAAACTGTAACTTTAAAAGCCTACAGAATACCAGCCTCCTCAAATCCTAGCAGACATCAAACAATCCAGGGAGACCACCTCTAAAAGAGACCAATGGAACTATGATGTGGCTGTGTGATGCAGGTAGGTGTTAGAGCTGCTATCTACTTCGGTTTTCTTTTGCCTCTTTGAATAGCCAAAGGCATAAAAGAACCTCTAGCACTTTCACCTTTTTACAGTAATTGTTGGATCAAAATTGCAATGGTATGTAGGGGCTGGTTTACTGAAACACATTTCTGATTTCCTTCCAAAATAAAGACTTGTATAAACAGAAGTCCAAGCAAACAACAAACCCTGTGAGATGAAAAAGGGGGCATATATGGTTTACTAACTAGAACCTAGGATCACTCAGTACCAAGGTAAATATCCATGAGGAAAGTAAATTGCACACAGTATTTGAAAAAGAAGCAGAAAGCACTGCTTGCAATTAGGTCATCCATGACCTCTCAGCTTTTTGGGATGATGGACTAGAAGCATCCACAGGGACGTGTCAAGCTGGGAGACCCAGTGCTGCATGCCAAGGAGAGAGAGCAAAGGCACGGAATAGGTGTGCAGCTGACAGCAGGTCGATTACGTCTCAAGCACATCTGAGCAGCAGCAAGGTGCTCACTTCAAAAATCTCCCCGTCCAAACACGCTGCTCTGCCAGATGGTCTTTTGCCTTTGCAGAAGCGCTGAGCGCATCCTTGTCCACCCCTGTGCCACATCACACGCAGCCTGGCAACTCTTCCTCGCAGCCTGGCCATAACATTTCGGAGGAGGAGAACAGCCTCACCCAAGAGCGTGCACTTCGGAGGAACCCAAATCCCACCAAAGATGGGCGGCTGATGCAGACCTTTCCCTCCCACCTCCCTCCCCGGCACAAGGCGCAGACCGAGAGGACGGCGACCCCGCAGCAGCCCGTCCATCCCACCTCGGACATCCCGGGGCCCACAGGGGCCGGCCCGGCGGGTGCGGGCAGCCCGAGATCCGCGGGTGGAGCCGCGCCGAAGCCCACAGCCCGCAGCCCGCTGCCCTCCCCTGGAGGCGGCACCGGCTCCGCTCGGCTCCGCTCCTCCCCGCGGCTCTCCGCGGAGCCGCCTCCCGCAGCGCTCTGCGGCCGGGCAGCGGGAGAGGAGCTGTCGGGGCGGCGCCCAAGCATAGCTGGTAGAGTTTGCCCGGCCGCCGGCTGCCTCCTCCCCTTCCCTCCCCTCCCCTCTTCGTGGTTTTGAATTTTTTTTTTTTTCTTCGCCTTTTTGGCGAAGGGGGAACTGGGGCTGCTGCTTCGCGCTCCGCGGCGCCGGAGTGGATGCGCATGGACCGGTCCTCTGGAAACGGCTCCCGGCGTTTCCCCCCCCCAAAAAAAATCCCAGCCCCACCAACCTACCCAGTTGGATAATTGAAACGGTAAATCTGGCTAACTTTTCATTATCTCGCTTGCTGTGTTCTTATACCTGTAGATATTTATGGCTTATCTGGCTTCTTTTTGTTGTCCTTTGGTTTTTGGTAATTAGCTTCTCTTGTACTGCTGGAGAACTTGAAACGTTGGGGTTTCTAACAGAGCAGGACTCAGTTTCTGCTTTATCATAAAGTTGGACTGAGGATGGAAACCTTCCCAGTTCATACCAGCCTTGCACATGCATTTACTTGTTTTATTAACCTGAACATAGATGAGATTTCATGTGACAGCATTCTTTTGACTTTGCTTTTCCTTAGCTTAATTTTTACTGATGCTAAGACAATATAGATATGTGTATGCTATACACATGCAGTCCAGTATGCAGATTGATTTTGTTTGCTGGCATTCACATCCAAGTAGGCTATGAATCTTTTTAGTTTATAATGTCAACATGTGAACTGTCATCTGTTTTCATCTTAATTTAACTTGTAGATCCTGCCAAGACAAGGTCACCCAAAGCAAATCAAGTGGTACTTCTCCCTATAATTATTTAAGTGATCAAAACATGCTGTGAGTTGTACAGTTAGTATGATTTGTATAGCTTCTTAATCCAGTAGGCTTTTGTTTGAGAGAGAATTAATTTTATATATATTAATTACATACATTAATAAAGTTGGATGCTTTATGACATCAGGCAACCCCAGGCTTTCTGCACATTATAAAATACAGCTTTAGGAGATTATATGTCTTTGCTTTGTGAGATATTATAATTTCATGTATATTTATGCTTTCTACTATTAGATATTCTTGTTCTTGGAGCAGTAACCCAGCAGACGTTTACATGAGGAAAATAGAAATGAGAGGTTATTAAAAAAAATGTTACTATATACATGGAAAAGAGACTCTCTTATTCTCATAAAATAGGGAAAAATAAGAGTAACAGTTTCATAGCTAATAAATATGACTGACCTGAACTTATCTCTACAATATGAGCTAAACTTCCAAGTTTTAACTCAGAAAAAAAGCTCGGTTTAGCATAGATTCTGTAGCTCTTCATCGATCTTGTTTCTTTGCTTCCTGAGAAGTCAATTATGTATTGATCTACCTACCTGTGTATACAGGTACATATGCTACTGTTCAAGCACACGTACCAATCTGATAGCAGCCAAGCACAAGATTTTGTTATTCCAGTTTTTGAGCCACAGAAGTCTACAAACAATGGTAAGGAAAGGCAGAAGGAGAGATTTACAACCCTTAATCTTGGGCACTTATTTTAGGGACCTTAGCTTGAGGACAAGTCTCAGTAGTCAAAGAAGAGAAAGAGGATCCCACACACCCTTCAACATGCATAGCATTTGCTTCTGCTCTAAACCGTTGCTTGCTGTCATTACAATTATATTTGAATTCATCTTCCAAAAACTTATGTCCATCTATCATTTATCTTGCTATTGCTGAAAACAGGATAGAATGTAAGTTAGTTGTTTATCTCCAGATTGCTAAATATTAAGAGCTGTTGACCCAAGAAACAAATCTTCTGCAAAGTTTGTATTTTTTCCCAAACCTGTGTGCTGCTATGTGCTGACACTAGACACTAACTTCCTGCTGTGTTGCATTAAGGAGGAATTGGGAAGCAGGGAACACAGTTTCTTATGCACACAGGAGATGAATGTTTAAGTGACTGGCCAACAATGCTGTTCAGAGCATTAGTAACTCCAGGGAATGTTACTGTCTGAATACTGCAAAGAGTACAGCATTGACCTTTACATCAGGTTGCTTTAAGGTACTGTAAGCACACTGTTCTTCGTACCCCAGCCTATGCCTCTTCATAATTATCAACCACTCATGGGCAAGACAGCACCTTCTATCTTTGGCATGTCATAAATATCTGAAAGTTTCCTCATTTTCATCATGGAGAGTGAAGTGTTTGTAGAGTCAACGAAGGGGAAAAAAAGTAATGAACCACAAACCATCGTGAAATTTTAATACAACAAAAATAGATTCTTAGGTAAGTCTGAAGTTCTGCTTTCTTGAGGAAAAAATATTTAAGTTTCTGTTGCTTTAATTTTTCCCACAGGTTTTTGCTTCTGTCTCTCACTGGCTTCAGTGAAACCTGCAAATGTTCAAGTCCAGGCTTCCTCCTCCTTCCTTCCTTCCCTTCTGCAAGCTCCAAATTACCTGTGTTGTGTTGCGCTTTTTTTCATCCAGACAGCAAATGAAAGGGCTAACCAAACATACACAGGCAGGAGGCACTCATTGCTTGCAGAGTTTGACTTCCCAATACTGAGATTCCTCTTGAGCTGGGGTTACACACACAAGAAGGCTCATACTGCACATGACATCTCTCAGATGCCAAGTGCTTTTTGTGCCAGTTCCATATCTGAGAATGACATACCACTATTTTAGTGTTTAAGACATAAGTGATTAAAATTTAGATCCCTTTTGTAACCTACTGTAACCTACTGGTGCACAGCTGCTAGAAGTATAACTGAGGTTATTGGATCTGGAAGAGTAGAATTTTTTTTGCCCCAAGTTATTCATTGGAAAAACTAGTATGACCTGCCAGATTCAGTGGCTTGCCCCTATTACTCGCCCTTCTCACAGAAACAGTGGAAAAAAAAAAATGTAGCTTCAGAATGAAAGAAACACTGACTTTAGTCAGCTTTAGTATTTTAAACAATTTTTTATGCCTTTGTATTTTATATGACCAAACTCCATGTGTGTGTCCATTTAACCTGTGAGATAACTACAGAAATTTTTGGAGACAACTTGTACTATAGCATCTTAAGTGATTAATGTTAGGTACACAATATAATATTTTCACTATTTGATGGGTTGTATCTGTTGGCTTTTAATGTTGGTGGTTTTGTGGTTTTATTTATTTTTTTGTTTTAATTAGTGTTGCATTTATTTTGCCTGCAGGATTTCTCTGTAATTTATGATCACAAACAAAGGTTACAGACTCTCTAATTCAAGCTTGAACTATTATAGCGTTTTTATACAAATATTCATTTACTTTGTCATGGCGTTTAGCAAGAAGGATCTATCAATGTGATCCATTATTCTGCATCTATTGTGTGAAGTTATTCTATCAAAAACTTGTCCCTTGGTTATATTTTTTTGCAAACTAATTATACGTTAAACATAATATTGCCCTCTACTTCTACATTATGTTTCTGATTGCAATAAAGTTTCCAACTGCATGAGTTTCAATACAAGAACAAAACATTTTTTTCAGTTGACATTTGATGTCCGCGGTGGGAAAGGTTGTACAAGGCAGCTGCTCCTGGCAGAAAAGCAAGTTCTTCAGTATGTATACTTTACATTTTAATTAAAAGCAGGACATACTTCAGAAAATATTGGGAATGTGTCTCATACGTCTTTAATTTCAAACATTACTTTCATGATGGTCCTTGTTACAAATTAGTGATGGAGTACAAGAATAGAATTGTTGGTCATTTCCTTCACACTTTCTTCATGTCATCAGTTTTCCTTCAGTTCATGGAGGAAGAAAACACAAAAGAGTACAGAAAACTACACAGACCAAGACGCTCTAAGAACTAATTACTTTTGAGTTCCCCTTGCCTATAGAAGGAGGGTATAATATCATAATCTGGAAGGCTTACCCAGAAGTGGAAGAGATATAAACCTAGGTTTGACTCTTACAGCTGTGCATCTCTGTGTGCATTTGCAGTTTCTCTGCCAGGAAAGAGGCAGGGAGCCTGAGACTGGGTAGTTAGCTTTATATATCAAATATGGCTTGTTCTACCATGAAGTATCAGCAGCTAAGCACCAAAAAGGCTCAAGCTAAATACTCACATGTACTGGCTTCATCAACAAATGAGAGGATTTCTATAAAGCATGAGCTGTGGTTTTGTCTATTAGAAGAAAAAAAAAATCTACATCAGCATTCAAACAAGTAGCCTTCTTGAATATATTCTTGAATATATAAGTAGTGCTTTTTAATGACAAAATGCAAGCTGGACTTTGAAAGTTTGTTGTTGTTGCTTTGTGTTTTTTTTTTTGTTTTGTTGTTTGTTTTTTTTTTTTTTGAGGGTTCATCACAATGAAGAAGCAGCCATCCCAATTAAAGTTTTGGATTATTACTCCCTAGAAACAGTCTGCTGCCATTCTGAGAGTAATTCACTGCATTTTGGTAAAACCATCACTTCATTATGTTCAGTAAGTGTGCAAGTGTTTCAGGCTTTGACTGAACTGGTTTTTAGTTGGTGATGGAAAATACAAAGGCTTGTTGGCAAAACATCCAAGCATGAATTAGCAAGTCAGCTGGCCCACTAGCAAACACAGCCATTATGCCTTAGGATCTAAAGAAGTGAAAAACCATTCTCCACCACAAGGAATATTTCATTGCATACAGAGCTTAATCTCTCAGGACTGTTGTTATGAGGTGCGAAGGTGATCCAGCTACCTGCTTGTGTATATGTATGTTATATATATGCATACTGATACAAACACACACACCAACTTCATAGAGGCCAAATACAAAACCCATAAAAATGAGTAACTTTTGTGATGAATTATGAAGGAACATTAGGAGCATGATCAATTGGAAAAAGAGGAGAACAAAAAGGAGAACTAAGAGAACCACAGAAAGGTCAGTCGCATTATGTAAATTTTAGACAGATTAGGTGAGAAGGACTGAACTGGCTTACTTAACCTAGAAAAACTATTTATTGTGCAACAATGAAGTGATTACAATTTGATGGATGTTTTATGATAAAGCAAAACCAGGAATTCCTCCAAAGGATACTTTGTGCCTATCGAAGTGTGGTTGCATTTGGCAGCTTCCCTTGGCTTGAGTAGAACATCCTATCTCTGCAGCTATAAATCACAATCAAAACTATAATAAATTTTAGAGACTTTTGACCTTCAAAATAGAATTTATGAGTCTTTAACTACTGTATGTGTAACTACATAGTCACATCTGCAATAACAATTCTGGACAAATAGACAACAGTCAAATTCTCTATTTTTTTCCCCTCACAGTAATGGAATCAAAAGTTAATTTTAACCAGATTTCATTCCTTTTGCCCACAGTAACACTTGCTTCCTAGAGCTGTCTGTAGTTAGCTCCTATAGCAGCATAATGATGAGAGCAGAATGGTTGGCTTGGGCCTTTTCATGGACAGAAATTCTGAATGTTCTCTGATTATTACTTCCTTTCTCTGATGGAGAACAGAGGAGCTCAGTGAATCACTCTTTGGGTCAGCACAATATGATTTCAGCATCGCATTGCATTTTCTCTCTTCCCTCCTCCTTCCAGTCTCACCATCTTTCTTACCTGACAGCAGCTAGATTTCAGGCAGACCATACTCTCCTTGTCCGCAGCTATCTGTTTCCTGGTCTTTTGAATTCCTGGACTGCTTCTGATTGCACTTGCATGAAATGCTCTGACACTGCCCTGACTGAAAAACGTTCACTGTGGGCAGCAGTAGTTATTGTGGCTGTTGTTTTTCCCCTAGTTGGGAAACCAGTGTGCATAATACTTGTAGTAGTATATGTAGTATACTGTAATATATGAGAAAAACATTTTCCAGATGAATAGAAGGTGCAGACGATTTCTTTATATCGTAACCACATTCATTAGTCTCTAAATACAGAGTTGGGCCATAATTTGGTCTTTTGCTGAAGAATAGTTGATCTTTCCTATGGAAGAAAAGGAAAGCATTACCTTTTTTTTTTTTAACCTGACATAAACCCTCTTGATTAGGTAGTATTAAATCTATTCAGCTCATTCATACTAAGCATAAGACTATCTATTAAGTTTAATGTGGGAAAAAAAAAAAGAAAAAAAAAAAAGTAACTACTAGTATTCAACCTCTTATCCTTAGTGTTGTGCTAGATTAGAAAAGATCAGCATGGCTTGGCCAAACCAGTCTATTAGTGATGGAGCCCACAGAATTTCCTAGCTCACTACTGGTCACTGAGCCACTGAAGAGAAGGGAGAGCTCTGAAACCAAAACAGAGAACTCAAATGGAGACATCTATTATTAACACATGATCTTTGGAAGATATTTCAGGCTGTGGTTTGTTGGTCTCTCAACAACCACCAGAGAACCCAGGCAAATTTGGACCACATCCAGTATTGTTTAGAGACACAGCCCAGCCGGTTATCATAATATATGCCTCCAGCTGTTGTTATATTAAATCCTAGTAACTGTGGAACAAGCTTCTAACTTGCCACAGACACAAAGCAATACATATGGCTTGGGTGAAAATATTAGAAGGGGTGTGTACCACTGGCTGGAAAACTTTACTTAGAAAATAGGTCTTAATAATTCATTATTACAACTACTGTCAAATTGCAAGGCATGTACCACTTGTGGTTGACCAGAAGACTCTCCTGGGTGCCATGTAATGTTTTAATTAAAAATTTAATAATACTTAGCATTTAATTATTCATTAACAGTTTAGCAGAGGGAATAACTTGTACACTTGGTAAGTGTGCAGGTGATATCAGGTTGAAGAGGAATGCAAATAAGTTGAACAATGGAATTGGAATTTAAAGTTTTTATAAGAAATGTAGCTCAAAAGAATGCGTATCAAAGATGTTCTTGGACATGAGCAACCAACAGGGTGAACGGAAGATCAGAAATGACTGACCAGTCAGAGACATTCGTGCCAACATACATCAACAGCATCACAGGGCTGACTCATGTCCAGATGATGTAATCAGCAGATAGTTTTTGAAAAATTGCTACACGGCCATCCACATCCAGAATTTAGGCATGTGAGGAACAGTGAGAGGAGGGCTTATCTGCAATGGGAGTGTGCAGGGAGCCAAGGTGACCCCTGCACAGGTGCTGCCTCAACCAAGGAGACACAGGCCCATGGGGTCTAGGCAGACAGAACCAGGGGATGATAACAGGGTCCAGTGACAGTTCAGATGTCGTGAGGGGATGAACCAAGGCCAGGGGCCACCCACCCAGGGAGGACAGCCAGGAGCAGACAGTGATACTGACATTTTTCAGTGACATTGAAAAAATCCAAACACACCAGATAAAACATACAAATAATACAATAATCTGCTCAAGAAAATAGCGAAGTCAAGCTTTAGGAGTCTAATATCATTTAGGTCTCTGTAAAAGCTGCATTTAAGGCAGTTGATATCTTTCTTAGGGAAATGACTTACATTCTGTCCTCTCTAACACTTGTATCTACATAAACAATCTTCTATATTGGGCTTGCCCAACATAATGGCATCATTACCATCTCCTCTGCACAAAGAATTTTTACATTAGGGTTATAAATTAAGCTCATTCTCACTCTGCCTTTTACTGAAGGCTTTTGATTTTTTTTTTTCTTCCAGCTAACCCTCACTCTTCTCAAGGACTGTACTGCAGGACTTATTATGAAATTACCTGAAGACTGACAGTTGCCAGTGGCAAAAAAGGCCCCTGCTGTTTTGGGAAAGATGAAATGTATGCTTCCTTTCATCTAGACTAAAAGCCTAGGGTGGCTGTTTTTTGCTGGTTTTGTTTCTGTTGTTGCTGGTGTGTTTTTTTTTTTTATTTTTTAGTTAATATTTTAGGATGTTTATGTTTAGAATAAAGAACTACTTTCTATTACTAATGAGGACCTGTGGGTATGTCTACACTGTCACTTCGCTGATTTGTTCTTAAGTCCCTATTTTCTAATCATCCAAACTGCATCAATGTTAATTTCTTCCTCAAAAGTTTTGGAGCAAACCACCAGTTCCATCTAAGACAAAAGGCAGGTAGGAATCTGGAACTTATTTGCTAAGGAGACCATTTCAAATAAGCACAACAACTGAGACCATACCAGATTTGGATCTTTCTGTCCCACATAATTTTCTCCAGTGCATTTCCAGCAGACCTACCCTTAATGGCTCACAAACCCTGCTGCTGTATCTACAAACATGCAACCTATCTCCCCCTTGGTATTATGCTATTATTTAATCTCATTGAGTCACAGAGACCTTTGTTAGGTGCCTTGAAGTGTGAGCACAGCTGCTCCCACTGCACTAAATGGGGATTAACATGTATTGTGGGCACAAGGTACACTGTGACTCTTGGGCTAGGGAGCAGGGAACAGGGAACTCCCAGCAGTACAGACATCTGTTTCTGGTTTAGATATTCTTGGTTGAGGCTTTTTTTTTTCTTTGCACTTCAAGTTTCTACAATGGCCTAGTGACACCAAGTTTTCTCCTTGAGGAAAGTAGACAAAGCTCTCTTCACTAGGGCTAGCCAGTTACTGAGAGACTGATGACAAAATGAAGAAGTAAGATGAGCAGCCTAAGATGCCTCCATTAGATTTTGGCATAAAAGTCAATGGCAATTTGAACCATCTGTAAAGGTAGATTTGAACTAGAAAATAGACCTATTTTTGTATATAGCTACTAAGGAAAGACAAGGAAAGAGAGCTGAAGCACAGAATCTGCTACTGGCAGCAGGTATCATTATGTGGTAGACTTTCCAAATCCCATAGTAAGAGCAAAGAATGGGAGCTTTACGAAAGCTGACACTTTTCTAGAAAATGAGTTGCTCTCTGGTGAAGCAATTGCACTGTCCCTAGTGAACAAGTCTGAGCTTTGCGTACATGATATTGTGACAGGAATTTATATATTTGTTGTTAAATTCTTAATCCACTGTAGCCATCTAAAAAAAAAAATAAAAAGGGTCATCTAATTACTTATATGATATTTCATCAGTGGCTCTGTGTGTATATCTTGTTTAAGATGACCTGTTAAGCTGTCATCCATAGCTGCTGGATATGTAATAGATAACACCATCAGGAAAAGCAAGCGTTAAAATGGAAACTAGCTTTACTTGCTTTCGTAAATATTTGTCTGCCTTTCCAGCACCTTGCAGGTTGGCCAACACAAACTCACATAGAGTGCAGGTTTACCATGATGATATTCCTTAATTATCTCTCTTTAGTGCACTTGTGTGTCATTTCCCTACTCTCAGGTAACAAGTAAAGTTTGCTGTTCGTTAGCCTCATCCTTGATCTTGCAGTGAAACCATTTACTGGCTCTCCTGGCAGTTTTTTAGGCTAATGACACACATCTTTTGTTATATATAGCTTCATCTAAGAAATAAGCAGACCACATTTAATCATTTTAGTCACTTCAAACTACTAAATCTCTCTAATAAAGGGGGGGAAAAGGGAAGGAAGGATGCATAATAGCTGGACTGAATCTTCACCTGTTTTTAATATAAAAGTACCAGAAAAGCGTGTAAAATATGAATGAAGAAAACCAGATGTTAAACATAGTAAGATTTGCTGTGTGTTTTTTTTTTTTTTTTTTTTTTTTTTTAAGATATCATCCTTCATAATCAGCTACTGTCTCAATGGTGCACATCACTGGTTACATTAAAGATTTCTGTCTAAAGCACGATGTTTAATCTCAGAAAAACAGTCATTAATTTCTAATTTTGAAAGTTAGGGGAAAAGTTAGAAAAAGCATATCAATCATTAATGACAACTAGCAAAATTCTGAATGTAACAACTTAGTCTTTAAAAAAGAAAAGAGAAAAACACAGCTTGCACATTTTCAGGGCTATATAATACAGCATCCTGCTGTGAGCTGTACTTCTGAATATTTAAACACAGTTTCTTCCTTGGGTACTGGTGGGAAAAGGGGAGAAATCATAAGAAAAAGGCTAGGTTATGAAACCAAAAAGGGTGAGAAGAAAGAAGAGTGGGAGGAGCTGTCACTCACGAGAGCAGCCCTCAAACTCCATTGACTAGGTAAGAGTATTTTGTTGTGGTACAAAATGTGAAATGTGCATTGGCAAAAACAGAAAAATTAAAATGTTAACTGAGGGACACTAAACCAAAGACTTAAACTATGCAGTTTTGAAAACATTCTGCCGCTCCCTTCCACATCTAAACATTTCTTGTATGATTGTGAATTTTTCTGTTTGTTTCTTGCTTCATCACTGGTTGGTAGTATGCTCCTGCACCCAGCCAGAGACAAAGACCACTTGTATGTCTGGCAGAGTGGAGGGGTGGAAATGGATGCAGCAACCCATGTACCAACATTTCAAGGGGATTTGACTATCTCTACACATAAGATAAGGGTAAAATATCTATAGGATATCTCTATCTATCTAAGGAAGAGATGCCATTCAAAGAGTCCTGGACAGGCTGGAGAAGTGAGTACTGCGTCCAGGTCTGGGGCTCCAGCGGAAGAAAGAGTTAGAGTGAGTCCAGAGGAGGGCCACAGAGGTCTGGAGCCCCTCTTCTATGAAGAAAGGCTGAGAGAGCTAGGGATGTGCAGCCTGGAGAAGTCTCCAGGCTCATTGCAACCTTTCAATACTTAAAAGGGTCTTATAAAAAAAGATGGATAAGGACTCCTTACTCAGGTAGATTATGGTAGGACAAAGGGGAATGGTCTTAAACTAAAAGAGCATAGATTTAAACTAGACATTGGGAGGAAAGTCTTCACTATAAGGGTTGTAAGGCACTGGAAGAGGCTGCCAAGAGAAGCTGTGGATGCCCCATCCCTGGAGGTGTTCAAGGCCAGGCTGGATGGGGTCTTGGCCAGCCTGATCTAGTTGGTGGCATCCCTGCCCATGGCAGGGGGTTGGAGTTAAATGATCTTTAATGTCCCTTCCAACCCAAGCCATTCTATGATTCTATGAACTCTACTGTTAAACTAGAGCATGTCCCAGCCCATGGCAGTGAGGAACTGTAGGGCTAGATGGTGAAACAAGGACAACATTACTTATTTTTTCTTTAATGATATATAAATACAATTTTTTTTTTTAGTCTCTGCTTTGCCAAGAATTCAAAGACTAGCCATGTGGTTAAAACTATTAGGTCTGTGTGTTTATGAGGGAGACTTAGAGAGATCACATGAAACACAGAAGACTCAAAACAGAAGTAAAACCACCTGCCTGGATTTGGTCATAGGCTTTAACCACAGGCAGGAGAGAACAATGGGGCACAGAGAACATAGGGCAGCAGACTGCAATGAACAAGGATCTTCTTTGCTTTCAATGATGTTCTGTTAAATCAGAGTTGCTGCAATGAGCCAGAGCACACACAATCAAGGCAAGCAGCTACTGGAAAGAGAAGACATCTCCAGGAACTGCAAATCCAACACATTAGGGCTCTGCCTGAATCATCCTCTTTGTCTGAGCCATTTCCACAGTGAGAGCAGCCTAGACTGTCACCCCTGTGGCAGCAGAATTCATTTCTGCCTTCTTTGCTTAGAAGATTTGACCTGGCTGAGTGTATTCTTTTCAGTTTCTCCCACTTTTTCAGCACAAGTAATAAGGTGATTACATGTAGCATGGTAATAGCAAGTAGCTATATGGCAGCACTACTCTGTGAATGCAGCTCCATGGTGTGTTAAGTCTTAAGCTTTACAAGGAAAAAATGTTTACTTTTACTTCTTCAGTAAAATAGCTGGGCCATTTTGTAGTGCACTGTACTAGGATTTTGACAGGGTAGAGAAAGAGCTTAGCTTTTGATTTAATCATCTTACCTCAAGCTTGGAGACTTTTTTTCAAAAAAGACAGGCTTCCGTTTTTCAGAAATAAATCATGTAGCCTCAGCTGAGCCTCCCAAGGGAAGAACATGTCTCAGCCCAAGCAGCCTCTCTGGTTTCAGTGTCCATGCAGCAGTACCAGGAGCCCGTTCTGTTATGGAGAAAATAACAGAATTTTGGGTATGTGTACATATACTTCTTAGACATAAGGATATTTCTTTTTACAGAACCATATTATTTCTGATAAATAACACATTACACTGAATGTTTCAGTAAAGGTATTTTTAAGGGTCTTTTTTTTAAAGCTTTTAAAATGTTTTTGCTCAGCATTAATACATCTGCTCTTTTGCATTGCCTACTCTGTTGCTAGTGCATCCCACTGTCATCCTTCCCACGGGAGGTCTTTTCAGCTCTTGGACCATCATATCTGCTTACATTAAGGCTGATAATTGGAGCAAAAACTTGTGGAAGTCTGGGCATCATGATGAAAATTATGCCCTGTAACTCTGTGATTTATTTCATATACTTAAGGGAGCTTAAGTTATTTAAGAATCTCCAGGCTTATTTACTGATATTTGTATTTTAAAGAAATATTTATGGTAGGTGAAAAGGTGAAGTTCTGCTAAATTAAGCAAAAAGTCAAAGCAAAACAAACAAAACAACCATAAACCATTTTTAAATGGCTATACATTAAACTACAGACTACAAATGTTGGTTGCTGTTGGGTGTTTTTGTTTGTTTGTTTTTGTTTTGTTTTGTTTTTCTGCTGATAGCATGAGCAAAAATAGACCAAATTCAGGTATTCTGAAAATCAAAGATATAGCTCTATGGAAGACTTACCTCTCAAATGCTTTGTTATAGAATGCTAAAAAACTAGAGAAAATACATAAAATACAGTTAAACTAAGAATGGAAAGGAAATGATGCCAAGTGGGAAGGGAATTTGTCGCCTTGTTCTCTTTTTGGAGAATGGGTGCAAACTTGCAATGAAGTCAAGATTCATGCAGGAAACATGAGCCCTCTCACAACTCTACTGTATTTTCTTCATGGCAGTTCTGAATTTATCTCTGACATTTAAAGGTATATTGTACTGTTGCGGAGAGCTTTTCAGAGCTTTTTTTTTTTTTTTTTTCAGAAGGAAAGTTGGTTTTGATTACCTTGTGTTTGTCATGGATGTATCACAAACTTCCCAACATCTTCCTACTCTGACACTAAGATTTATATTCTCCATTGAACAGTTTAAATAATATATAAACTTGCAGCATAAAAAAAGTCCAGCATGATACATTTAGGGAGAGCACTCTTATTCCCCGTACTGTTTTCAGTGACTTAATGATATCTGTATTGTTCTGTGAACACAGAAGTTCTCCCCTCCCAAAATAAATAAAAAAAAATTACCCAGGGGTACCTGCATTCATGTTCTGAAGAACTAACATTGAAGAACAACTGTAACCGATGAAGCTGAGGAAATGATATTTGTGGTGAACCCTGTATTTGCTGAAACACTACAATTTAAATTGGTAAAATTGTTTCTGAATACATCCAAGTAGTTTTGCCAGGAGGAAAAAAAAAAATAAAAAAATCTTTGGGAAAAACAAACGAACAAAAATGTTTTTGAGCATGGAGACTTTTTTTTTAAAAAACTTTTTTTTTTTTTCCCTAACAGTTTTGATACGGCAAATAAGATAGTTACAAAAGGATGGAAGTATTTCTGTTTTTCTAATAATTCAGCAATTGGAGAGCACATTTCAGGTGCAGCTTCTTGCTCTTTGGGGGATTCTCTTCTCACAGCCTCCAGTAGAAGGCTCTATCCTCACATACAGCAGAGGAGGACACTGCACTTGGCTCTCCTGTTCTTGCTGTTCTCAGACAAACTGGGAGCCATGCAACAGCATCAGAAATGGCTCTCTAGGCATCTTTCTATGGCACTCTTTTAGGTTTGTGTGTTCTGGTTCAAATGACATTTTTCCCCACGTAAGAAGGAGGACTGAAATGGGCTTTGGCTGTCAGTGGAAAGGTAGAAGAAACCAGCACTGTGTGTTGTTAGGTGAGCAGACACCCAAGCTTGGAGCTGCTTTACCTTTCCCCAGCACAGGCAGAGCTGACCTCTGCTGGAGTAAAAGTGAATGATAAAAGAAAATCAAGACATGCAACATCCAACGTTAATGGATTTATGTCCAAATGAAGAGAAAAACATATTTTTGGCAATTTGGAAAAAAAAAAAAAATCTAATACTCATTCTGCAGAAAATCCCATTCAATTAATCTTTCTCAGGGCCTATTTGTGAAGACTATCTGATGCAACACGTGAAAACCAGGGAAAAAACAATACACTGCAATCTCAGTTTCTGTGCAGCAACCTTGTAAATCACTTGCAAGGATGGCCTGTATCTGCTGTATTTGGACATATCCTGAGACACGGATGGAGAAAGAGGAGAATCAGTCCTGATTCTCTTTAGCAAGTGCTTTCTGTTATGAATTCACACTGAGGTGATGCTCTTCCGTAAAGGACTGCTCTCACCCAGTTTTCACTGGTTGTATCACCACAGTTGTAAGATGGAAGAATGGCCGTTCATTTTTTATTTATTTATTTTTAATTCAGAGAGAGTAGTAGACTGCTGCCTATGGTCAAAGCCAGGGATGATATGGTAGATCAGGGAGCTCATCTTTCTAAGTAATATGGCAATGACAGTGACTTCTCAGGAATGTGTTCAGGCTAAACTGGTTACCTCGACACTAACAGTTACCAAGGGCACTGCAACATTAATGTCAGCTTGCACCAACCAAAGGGGACTTCATCTGGTGGTTTAGAAATTTTTCACTTCTGTCTCAGTCAGAAAATTCATAAAAACAGGCTTTATTTCTCCAATATTGGAGAAATATTGGAAGAAAAAAGAAAAAAAAAAGATTTAAATGGAATTAAAAAGCAGAATGATGAGACAGTATATAACATTTTTCTGACCTGGATGCAGTTATCTGCCAAAATCTAACTTCCAGCACCTGTAAAAGAGGTTTGTAAGCACCAAAGAGAATGAGGGAAAAAGTACATTTATATACATATATATTTTTTTTTCTCTTTTTCTTTAATAAAACTGTAAGACACCATGCTGGAAGTGGCACAGGAATCTAGATAGTTCCATGCTGTTGCACTGAATTTCAAAGTTAAAGGCAGACTGGCAGAGAGATTTGTTGAAAGTACATGTAGGCTGAAACACCATCTACGCAGGAAGGAACACTGTAAGCATCAGGAGCTGATTTATTTCATCAGAACTGAGTTCACTTATAAACGTGATTCTGACTTTTTCTGCCAATTCTTTTCATAAAAGCAATACGTATTCTAGGTGTCACAAACTCTTGTGTATCCTTTTCCAAGTGAATTACTTTTGCAATGCCATTGTTTTGTGATGTCTTTTCTGCTAATCTAATGTGTAGCACACCTGTGACTAACTGATTTTTACTTTCATTTTTTATTGAGACAATACTGTGCAGACTTTTTTTGACAGTAACCTGACATAAAGCTTTGTCTGCTGAGCCCAAGCAAATTTACCTGCTGGAAATTCATGCATTTAACCTAGAAAGTCATGGATCATTTGATGAATGATAAAATTACATGGTCAGCCCGAAAAGTAAACCATTTATATTGAAAAATAAATAAATAAATAAAAGTTTGCTCTTGTACAGCTCTAACTATGACTCACTGACCGAAGAACTCAAAGCATTGCAGGGATATTAAGAACATAAAAACAAATATTTTAATAAACTGAAGTAATTAAAGAAGACAGGAAATAGACTTGTTTGTCCATCTGAAACAGAAAGCCTTTCTGTGCTAATGAGAACAGATCATACCCCTCTCATTCCATTACAAATTTCTTGGACCAACACCTGTCAAGAAAATGTTATCGCTACATGCATTTCCTTTTAAAGAGTTGTAGGAATCAATGAATGTAAGGATCAAGAAGTACTGCTCTTGCCTTCAGTAAGAAAAACATTTGGTGCCCTGTCTCCTTTCTTCAGAGTCTCTTCTTTCTGCCTTCAGTCACCAACTCTGAAAGAGCTGAGCTGCAATAAAGAAATACTCTGGGGGAATGAAGAGACCCCATAGGCAGAACTGCTCTTCCCAGGGCACAGATACCTCCCTACCAGGGCATAAAAAGTCCTCTATATTGAGGGTAAAGAAGGGGGAGGAAAGAGGCAAAAATACACCATTCTTCATATCTTCCACTCCTTCCAAACCTACCCTGAAAGTGAGGATCAGCGCTCCTCTGTAGGGAAGGGAACCACATGCATCTGTCCTCACCAATCTCATTTGATGCCTCTAAGAGCAAGCAGTGTCACATCTAGCTTTCAGACCATAGCACCTGCAGGAGAGCATCTCATTTGTTGCAGTAAACTGGCTTAGATTCAATTCAATTTAGATTGAAGTGATGATAATGTGCTGTAGGAAGGAACTAAGAAGGTAATTCAGAAGGTGTTTATGCCTGTTGGAAGGTTATCCAGATAGTTACTCTTACTATTTTTTTGCGATTTAAATTCCCAGTTACCTCTAAGCAGTCAGTGAGCAGACCAGTTCGAATCTTTTTATACATGTGTGCACATGTGCTTTTTTTAAAAATAAATAAATAAATAAATAAATAAATGCCATTTTATATATATGACTGGAGGAATCAATGGAAAGTAGAAGTGTTCCTATCAGAACCAGGTAAACACAGAAATGAATCAATTGAAAAGATAAAAATATTCCCAGTGCAGTCTCTGCTTTTCAAGTTCTCCAGCATGGTAACAAGGAGGCTGTAGCACAGACTGTGGCACTGGGCTCTACGTGGGAAGTGATGGTAAAAGCAAAACCTTATCTGAACAGGCTGTCCAACTGTTAACTTCCCAACTCTCAGGCACATGCACACAAGCCAGCACCACCATTTTATGCTCACTGCTGACTACAGTGTTACTTGTGAGGAAGTTCTGAAGGCAGGAGTCTTGTCTAAGATAACACTGATTGCATCAGACTGCCTGAGAAGCTGCCTCCTTCCTTGCACCATGCTGAGGAAGCCAAGCTAACAGAGGCACGAAAGCTGCTTCTGCATCCTGCAAGAGGACAGTACAAGGGCTGTAAGGGGTCTGCTGATTCTGAAGTTTCCTCCCGTGCCTGGTAATGC